AAAAGTCTAAATGTGTGCGCAAGTACAATCCTGACTTTCTTAAGTACGGCTTTGTGAACGGAGGCAACGAGGCAGAGCCGAGGGCTCAGTGTGTGGAATGTGGGCTAATGCTATCAAACGAAGCACTGAAGCCTTCGAAACTAAAGCGACACCTGGCGACGAAACATCCAACGCTCGTGGGAAAGCCTGTTGGGTTTCTTGTTGTGTATGCAGGTTTATATACACATGATAAATAAATGTCTTTGCGATCATCACATTGTATCATCTCATTTATTTGACAAGGGTTTTGCCTGTTCAACTCCGCGAGGATGCCGGCGTCCTCGATCCCCTCCCCTCCCGTTCCTACGGCTTGCTTGCGCAAACTACGTCACAAAACATGGCCGTGTTTGCATTTCAACTGAAAAAGACACATTACAGACCCGACAATGTACTAGCGGACATTACCATGGAGCTAGTGGCTTCAGAAAACGCTAGTACTTATAGTACAAACCTTATCTTCCTCTTCTATAAGCCGTCAACCAACGTATAACCTTGCGTAAATGAGCTGCCCGCATACTCGATCGTGAGCTCTGTCGCAGCCATTACGCACAGTAAGTCCGCTACTCACATACCACGTCTTCGACCATATATACATAGTTTTTGCAATTTGCAAAGGCTAAAAATAAAAGGAAAATAATATAATATCAAAATATAAAGGGAGAAACACCTTTAGTGTGTCAGAATATCATTTGGTTTCCATGTGTCCATTTGGGTCTCCAAATATCCTTTTAGAGCTCCGCCTGGATCTCTTCATGGAAGAAATAATGTAGAATCGTCATACTTTGTCCAATCTTCTTCAAATTTGAGGCAGTTGTTCACTGATAGTGTAGTTACAGCCCTATACTGTCCTTTACCTGTACAGATACAGCCACAGGGAGTTATTTATACTGAAAGATACTTTTTTATTTTATGCGGACAAAAATCTTCAATTTGTACTGACTCCAAAGGCCCACTGCTCTGTTTCTATATGACCTACAGGTTTTCTGACACTTTTCATGCATATAGTCACAGTGGTTCAGAAGCTACAGCCATTTTAATTTGGGTATGTCATTTTAAGAGGTTTTGCTCCAAAATAGGGGTAGAGTTGAACAGGTAACAATATAGTTATTGAATACAAATCAAACCAAGAGTGAGATCAATTAGTTAAACTAATAGTGTTAACATTTGAATGGGCCCCAGGACACTTTGTACTTGAAAAGTTGGGCCCCGAGGTCAAAAAGGTTAAGAACCCCTGGCCTAAGGGACGGTAAAAAGTGATTAAAAACAAGGAAGGTTACGGTTTTGTTAGTTTAGCACCTGGCCGATATGGGCAGAAGGTTAGTACCTGTTCAAACTCATTCTTTGGAAAATATTGTTGTAGGTAGCTACGTTTTTTCTGTTTTGTGTCATTAATGAAAGAGCTCAATCTAACAAACTGCTGTTTCCGCTCGAAGGCACCACCGTGTGGTTAAATGTAGCATGTTAGAGGGAAGGATAGGGAAGATGCTAAACAGTGTTCAATAACGTTTGTCTTTATTTATTTTCCTCATAGTTCTTACGGTGTGTTCAATAAAGATGTATGGACCATCAGTTAAAGACTCCAGCCCATTATTCAGCCGGGGATGCTACACTTATTACGGAAAGCTTCAGATTGTATGAAAAATTCACCCGATCATTTCCATGTGGTGACAAGTTTTGAGTTGTAGCTCAGGAGTTGCTTGGTCAGCCATCAATCATAAAGTTAGCGGTAAGATCGCTGGCTCCTTATGTCCACACGTTGAAGTTTTCTTAAGCAAGGAATGTATGCCAAATAAATTGGAAAACTAAATACGCATGCATAACAAAACATGGAGGTTTCACATTGTAGCCCTGCTTATTGTGTTAAGAATGAGAGATTGGATGTCGGTGTAAAAAGCACTGACATGTTGTCCTGTTTGTTGTTGTAGGAATAATTTGCAGCGACGGAGTGATACGGCCTTGTTCGCAGTCATTGCTGAGGTGCTGTCGGCAAACACCGTGCTGACCTTTGCCCCGCTCAGCTGTACAGACAGTGGAAGCCTCTAGCCAAGCGGGCTCGCCAAGTGAACCTTTACATCAGGCGTGTGTAGGCCGTCAGTGTAACAAGTAGGTTTGAAAAAGGTCACATCAGCTAGAATGACAGCAGGGGTTAATTTGCTGTGGCTACGCACGCACACACACACACACACACACACACATTAAGAGTCACATGCTCCCTCTCCAGAGTATCTACACCCAGAGCGACCACATGTTGTGTGACACAATCTTCGCGGCCATCAGGAGCCCATAAATCATAACCTTTTTGTATCCAAAACACTCGCTGGTATTATTATGAGGCAACAACATTATTGTTTTGTTGTCAAGATACAGATTTAACTGCCAACAGTTTTCTATTTTGATATAAAGGAGGTCTAAATATAAACTGAAAATGCTGAAAATGTATACTACATGAAGGATATTATCTTTCGTTTGGGATCATAGACATATCAGCCAATCAGTGAACCAGTTTGCAGATGACTAGTATTTCTAATCTTTACTCATTATGTCTTGAAGTGAAAACACAAGTTGGCTTTCATGAATATTTAACATCTATTCGCACAAAGGATGAAGAAATGAATGCAGCTGAATATGTCTGTAGAAAGATGTGTGCATAACACGAGTGATACGCAGGTAATGACCCAGAGTAAAGCTTTTTGATTATTTATTTTCAATAAATCAGCAGTAAACATGCATAGCATTGGTGTTACAGTTGAATCAAAATCACATCACAACTATTTCAGCTCTTGGGGTGCTTTCACACTCGTAGTTCGGTTCGTTTGGACAAAGGGAGGGGGGGGGGGGGTACAATGTTGCACTTTAGTCCGGTTCCTGTTCACACCGAATTTTTTACAAACGAACCAAGATTCGTCGTCCTGCATCGTGAGGACCCTCGTGGGGAAATCAAACTCTATTCAAATCAAAGCTCACAAAGAAATAACTTAGTATCAGCAGTATTAGTATTATTAGACTGCAAATTGGCCACGTGTTATGATGGATAATAACAAACCGGTAGAGACAATCCCTTAGCGCTCTCTCAGATGCGAACGTTCGGGAAGCGCACGGAAAACACGCATGAGGTGTACAACTGTGGGATCGCTGGAACAGAGTTGGATAAACATAAAGCCGTTTTACCAGCTTTTGACCTATTAATCAGGAAAAACACCTGCACTGACGTGCATACGTGTTGATTTGCATAAATAGGTTATATACTTGGCTACAGATCAACGACATGACTCCCTGAACAGGTTTCACGATCAACAGATGGATTTATTTGTATTTTAGCTTTTGAAATCCAGGTAAAAATCACATATCTGCCAGCAAACGGAGCTGGGTTGGGTGTGAAAGCCCTCTTAATTCGTTTCTCATGGATATATTTTAAGAACAGTTAAAGAACATTATGCTACCTTTATTCCTTTGTTTTAATCAAGTGGCAAATGCTTATAGAGCAAGAGCATTCTCTATTATCCATCATGGGGAACTCATCGTATTCGTATCACAAACAAAATTGAGCTTGTCTGCACAGTCCCAGCTTTCCAAGTGCCCTCCCTTAAGCGAGAGGGCCCCACAGTGGTGAGTCCAGGCGGGGCGCTGTGGCGTCTCCGCGCGGCTCCAGGCCTGGTAACTCACATTTTCACCGTTCACCCACAGCCAGTCGTCTGACAGGTAGCGCAGGCCGGTCCACACGCGGTCTGTCTGGGCTTCCTTGCTGGTCTTCAGGGTTTCGACCAGAGCGGATTCAGAGGGCAGGCTGACCAGGTCGTTGTGCTGCTCGCGACACTGCTCCATGGCCTCCTCCCACGTCTTGTTTTCCTTCACCAAAACCAGGGTGTTTTGGAAACAGTAGAAGCGGCGATTACTGTTGCAGTCCATTGTTCGCCAGCCTTTTTTACTGTGCAGCACGCATCCCTTGTTGGGATTGGGTTGGTTCTCCTCTTCTAACCAGTTGAAGAACGATGCGTTTTGCCCTCCCGACCACTTCCACCCATCGTGGCTGTCATTTTGGAGACCGATCCAGCCCCTTAGACTACGACGCTGCTGGAGGTTCTCATCTTCTTCCCGGTTGCTGATTGAAGACAGATCAGCGTGATGCTCTCTGCAGTAATCTCTGGCCTCTGACCATGTCTTTGATTTTTTGACATACGTATTCCACCCGCAGAGGGCCACCTCGAAGAAACAAGTGAGAACGAGACACCTGAGAGTACTCTTCTTCATGTTGAGTTGCAGTGGAGGTTCCCTTCTGTGAGCTTCTCTCAGCCTTCAAGGGTCTTTACTACACCTGCAGGAGCAGAAAGCAGCCAATCACAGTGCATGCTGTGCCGTTTTGAAAATGCCCAGGAAGCCTTTGGGTGCATCGACACAAATTGAGGCATTCAAATGCTCACAAATGGGGCGTAATGGGAAGTATCGAGTGCTTGGAATTTGTATGCAAATATTCATGCCATGCTCATTAAGCCAGATACGAACTCTTTGTTGTGTGTTTTTCACCCACTTTCATGTAAAAGCAGCAGGTTTGATTTCTTATTAAATGTATCTGGTATTGATCAGATGTGACCAATCAGCATTAAATACTTTATCTGTCACTGACGTCATACGATCGCATCGGCGGATTTCCATAAACTCTGACAGAATCAGTAAAATTTGCACAAGCATTTTTAAAAGACTCCTCCCTCGACTGTACACGCAACTTGGTTCATCACCATTACTCCATTGACTTCACTGAAGCGTGTCGCTAATGGCGTGTTTTGAATACCAGGTTTGCTTTTTTTCACGATGAACATTCAGGCTTCGAGCTATTGTCTGCTCTGCCTTAGTCAAAATATTGATTTGCATTTCACTAGAACGCGTCGGCTGAAAACCATCATGATCTAATCTTGAAAACAGAGAAGAGAGAGTTTTATTGTGCCAGGGTTAAATGCTATTACTCCTTTAAATCCTCCGTGATGCTTGCTTTATGCAACACGAGTCATTTATATATTTCATTTTGAGATTGAAGTTCAAGTGTCAATATTTTAATTAACTTCCTTTGGTGGAGATTAAATCAAGGATAGTTTGCTTGCAATAAATCATAATTTAGTTCATTAGATTTTCGCAGATCAGGAACCTACCGCTTTGCATGATGGGTTGTTTCGTTTGTTTTTGGTGAAGTTAACAGTTTAAAGCAGCCAGAGGCACTGCTGGTTTAGGATAATGAGTGTGCAGTATTCACATCTATATATATATATATATATATATATATATATATATATATATATATATATATATCTGTATAGATGGTGGACAACAGATATTAAGTAGCTGGGTTCACTTTTCCTGAGTGAATCTCTGCATTTTATAATGTGAAAGAAGTATTTTACTGGACCTGGTGTGGAGGATGTTTGATGTATATGTATTTAAATGTTTCTGTCCATAAATCATGTAATCACAAAAGCTGAAGACAACCAATGAAGATATTGTCAACAATCACAGTTTATGAGTCAGACACAGGTACTACTAACAGAGAGAGCAGGCGTATTTACACATGCGGTACATTATGAAAGCAGCCAGATGTTCAAAAGAGAAGCTAAAAAAATATGTACCACTGATCTAAAAAAAAAAAACAGTTTTATATCAACAAGGAGATAAAAGCGATCTGAGAATGCTGCATCTGCTTTATGTTGTGTAGAAATATCCCGGCAGGGATTCTGTTTACCAGCTTGGTAACTTGAAAACATTTTTCCTTTTTCTCTGAATTTAAAAAATGCTTCATCAATCCCAAAGACAGTAGTGAGAGAAGTAAAGGTTTGCATTTAAAAAAAAATAAAAAATACAACAACAAATCTGTACACGGATGTCATTATTAAAATCACCACACTATTACAAAAATGAAAAAGTACTTTGCAACCTAACCCAGTTAACCTCTGACCAAAGGTTTGTCAGGGTTCAGTTGTTCATGATGCTCATCAGTCTAAAGCATTGAGGCAAATGCTATCTTCAGCGGACATTTCCATGTTTTGAATAGCTTGATAGCGTCATTCGATACCTCCCAAAGAACACGCGTGCTGTCCTTGTTCCGTGTTGTACGTCAGTAACAAGAACGTTTTTTTCAAACATGTCAGTTTTTTTTCTTATTACAGTTTGACTATTTTTCCACTGCTTGTTTGCCCATCTCCCACTATAGGTCTTAACAAGGTCCAGGCAAAAAGAGAGGCTACGAAAACAAACATTTCACTAATCGAATAGACAAAAAAAAACACAATCGAGTGAGCGTCAGTATAAGAGTAAACAAAGCTGGTCTCCCTTCAACTGCATGGCTTCATTGGTTTCATTGCACCACAATTGCAGATTGAAATAACAGATCATTTGCTGCTGCTTCTCGGGGAATCAACAGCACATATTTGGCATTATTTCGAGGGATTCTACAAGGATTATTAGAACTAGACTGAAGTCAGGGCAACTAACAAATCCCAGTCAGCGCCCCGCTGAGCAGTCTCGGTCCCAAACACAGCGTGTGTAGGCCCCTTTTTTTTGGCACCAGCAAAGGCCAGTGATCCCAAACTTTTTTTTTCACATTACAGGCATTGTCATTATCGTCATCATGGTCACGAGCTTCGTCGTCGTCCCGAGAGGTGCTGAGGAGGGTAGGGTGAACGCGTGTGGTGGATTCCTATTGAATTTGTCTCAGTGTGCGGACAGACTCTGAGGCAGCAGAGGGCCTTGTGGTTAGTGTGTCCCGGCGGGTGATGGGAAGAACGGGAGGTCAGGGGTGTCGCGATTCACATCTCTGTGTCGGCCACTGGAGTCTGGGTGGCAGAGTGTCCGTTGGTGGTGGGGGCGGGGTTGTTCCCATTTTCTGGTGGAGACTCGCCGTTGACGGTCAGCTTGTCGAGGGGCTCTTGGGGTAGGGGGGCTACGGACACCAGGGTGTTGGCCTGGTTCTCCTCGTCCACCTGGAAAGATTCGGCCTAAGAACAGCATGCAGACAACACTAACATCAGACTCATACAGGTTTAAGATGCAAATTTTTACTGTTCAAATATGACGTGCAAACGAGCAAGACAGCGTGTGGATGTTTTATTGTGGGCGTTGGTCAAAAGTAAACAAATGCACACTTTGTTTGTGGGTTTTATTGTTTTCAGCTGTGCGCACTCAAAGGTTTTGGCTATTGTTTTACTGTTGGAAGGTTAACAGTGTGAATGCATGCATGCTTGTTGTTTTACTTTGCTTCGAGCAGAATATTTTAACCCATTGTTGTCAGTGACTTTGCTTGAGTTTGATGAGGTGCTTTGTCTGTCGGCAGGAACCTTGACGATAACGTTTGATGCCTGTGACAGACACATATTCAATAAAAAAGATGAAAAAAAAGCAATTCAGCAATCCGTTCCATCCAAACCATCATATGGGTGTGCCCCCATATGTAAATGCTTTAAAAAATGACGTCATGAGCTTCAGAGGAGAGAAGAAAAAAAAGACTAAAACCATCTGTAGCCCCCTGGCAGAGGATTGAATTAGAAAAAGCAGAAAGCACTCCAAGCTGCTTTGAGTTAAGGGACATGTGAGTCCAGCATGTCCTCCCTTCAGTGAGGAATTGACCGGAGGATAGCCATACGTTTGACCTCTAATCCATATGTGCTTTTTTTTTTGTTGAAATAAACATTCACCATGTTCAATTTCCTCAGTGAACTGGATCTTGTGGGGCCAAATTATCTCATTTTAGGGAAGTAAAGGTGGTTGCTTCAGTCCATGATCCTTTTCTTTACTCGCACTGTAAGCACTTACGGGGGCAATACAGGGTAGAAAGAAAATGTTGGTCCAAGTAGGATTTCTTTCAAATGTTGCAAGGATCTTCGTTTGATAGCTGACCTCATGCATTTAAATCTAACCTTGAAAGATGAGAAATATGATATCTGTGATGTGAAATCATAGACTGTCATCAAAAAGTGGACGTAGTATCCGTGATGTCACCCTTTGGTTTACGGACTACAGTTTTGAAGCCTTCAGTTCAGCATTTTGGCCGTCGCCATCTTTGGTTTTATTTGCAACCAGATGTAACAGGATACAATTAACTGGACTGAAAACACAAGGGTTCAAGTTCTAAGACGAAAACACAGACAACTCCCAGACAAGTTAGCCACGCCCTGAAGCAAACCTTTCTTTATCGCCTAAATGGAACCATAATTTACTAAATGAACATCATGCTGTACTGAAGAAGACTTGAAACTAGAGATTACACTCATGTTTACAATGTTTACGGAGGTAAAAAATCAAGTGAGAAGTAGAGTCATTTTTTCAGGATACTTCTGTACAATCGGACTTCTTTTTGCAATCAGAGGAGTCGCCCCCTGATGGCCAGTAGAAAGAATGCAAGTTTGAGGCACTCAGGCATTGGATTCACAGGTTGCCGCCTGTGTGAAATACAACTTTAATGATTTCCTATGAATAAAAACCGCTACAGATTTGTGACGCAGTCAGCGTTACCGGTGTGGTACACCTCTTCTAATCTACTCACCAGTCTGACTCCTTTGGAGGTCTTGCGGTGGGTCTTGAGGTAATAACCAGCTACCAGCAGGGCAGCCAGCAACAGGCCAGTCAGCAGCAGGGAAACCAGCACCAACTTAGAGTTCTTCCCCCAACGAGGTACAGCCGCCTCCACGTCGGTCTGATGACAAAAATGAGAGCAAAATAACACGAATTTAAAGTGTTGTTTTGTGTCTTTACCCCGTCAAAATGATAGTGCCTCTAGCAAATCAAACAAATCTTCAAACGCTCTTTACAGACTGAATCTGACACACAAGGAAAATGAGATACAATGCACATCTTAATGTGTACATTGTGTGTAATTGCTATGCTGGCAGGAGGAGATCTTCATTATCCGGCTACTGAAAGTTAGAAAAGAAACAACCCCACCCAAAGCCTTTCCTTCTACAGATGTACCTGCAGAACTGGCATCACGGCAGTGTCAAACTAAAAAGTTGCCAGTGAGCGGACAGCATAACAAAGGATGACTGTTATTCCGTAGATGGTAGAGTAAAGAGGAGAATGTAGTGTTTGTTGAATGCAAAGAGACAGAGGGGTGTGTGAGGCACACCCATAACCCCAGATTGTTCCCTAGGTAGTAGAAGCAATGTCTTGCAGCTGACAAGTAGATTGTTTGTGGGCTTTTTGTTTGTCACTTCAACTGACAGTCTGGCAGCTCCAAGCCTTAAGAAAAGTGTTTTTCTTCTCATGTAGGCTATATTCCCCCGTCTAGTGTGATTATGAGTCGACCAGCACATTTATGGTGGCTGAGTCCAGCGGATGTAACGTTTTATTGTTGGGTGTGTATTTTACAGGCCTTTCATAGTGAATGGTATGATGATGTCAAAATGAGTACCAGCTTGGTCCGTGCCTTGGTCATGACCATAGAAAAGATATAAACCATAATTTCAGTAACACAACTAATCACTTTGCAGTTCCCAAGTGAACTCAATAATGTATAATACAATGTATAATACATATAATGCCATACTGTAATACATGATGCTATGAGAAGGACAAGATAAATGTGTGCAGAGTATTTCTACAATGCAATACACCTAATACTGTACCTTATCTTTGATGTTGTCGTTGTTGAACTTGTCAGCCATGCCTGCAACATCGTCTGCAAATTAAAAAAAAATAGTTAGTTGCATTTTTTCCCGTTACATTTCATGTGTTGTTTTAGAGAAGCGGAAGTCGAGATGCTACTCAACTTAACGGAACCGTATAGTGATGAAAAAGATAAGTAAAGTAAATGTGAGTTTTTCAGGTTTGGAGCAATGGAGCAGATATTTTAATGCGGGTTTAGCATAATGCTGGTACTCAGAAAACTTTCAAAGCAGCCTCATAATAACTGCTCATCAGATGATAGAAACACTGAATGTCATCTTATGAGGTTATTCAGAATATGAAAATATTCAGACTCAGGCCGAATGGAGCATTTTCCGATTTAGACATGGGACATGCCGATATTATTTGTGTTTTCGGAGCATTCTTTGGACATGCATACAGGGCTTACAGAATATGCGTCTGCATGGGGGTTTTACCACAGTTTGCGACACACGGCCTCCTGCCTGTTTACAGCCAGCTCTGTGTGTGTGAAGTGGGTATAGACACAAACCAACCACCAACAGTTTGCAAAGATGCATGCCCAAAAGGAATTTTTAATCAATTACCACAAGAACGCTATACTGACCTTCAACATATTTCCCAGACACGAGGATTTGGTCGGAGTCGTCCTCTTGGTAGATGTCTAGCTTACAGTCTTCACCACACAGCTCCTGCAGAACACTTTCGATCTTCACTTTGGTGTCTTTCTGCACGGAGACCAAAATAGAAGATAATTAAGCATTGGGACATTCTTCATTTCAACATGTGAACAGTTTAAATCGATCAAGTTCTAGATTGCACAATTTGAAATTCAACGTTGATCCCGAATGATTAGCTCTCTATACAGTCTCACTGCCGGCCTTCAATATTGCCTTGAATCTTCCGCTCCTCCTCTAATCCCTTCATCTTCTGTTTTCTTCATCTTTCTTTGTCTTTAATCCAACAAGGGCCATCACAACCCAGTGTGCAACGTTTCCCCTGATGCAATCTGATCCAAACATCAGAAACGGCCACACTGTAGGAGCCCTTGATCCCATTTCTCAAGTGCACAGATGGCTAGATGTGTGTAGCTGTGGGCAGGACACGGTGACCTTTATCTGGAAATCTTTGTCTTAAGAAGCTCTCTGTTTGATCTCCGTGTAAAGAAAGCGCAGAAAACGTCTGTATTTCGCAAGGAAACCCGAGAAGGAACAACTCCTTTGCCAAGTTCTCTTTAACTTTTTACGGACGAGCAATAGAAAGCGCCCTGACTGGAAACATTACAGACTGCAGCCGGCGGGCAAGTGATACAGACGTATCTGCTGCCGTACCACCAGACCTGACTCCACCATTAAATACATGACATGGAGCTCTCTGATATGCTGGTTTTACATCCTCGTTCCACACGTCTCTCTCTGAGCATATATGGATATGAGGATTTGTTATTGAATAAGTGTATGTATTGTTTGATTTTATTAGGGGCTACAACTTGATTCATTGTGCAAAAAATTACAAATAAATGAACTTTGTTACTTTTTTTATACATTATGACATTTGGTCTTTTTTCTGCTATATGGCACTGAATGTCATTACTGAACTTAACCTAAACAATAATGTCTTTTTAGAATTATTAAAAAGATTTTACAAACATAAAGGATTGCAGGTTGCATCAAATGAGATTAAATCATGATTTATTTCAAAAATGTTACTGCAACAAGCTTTGAAACAGAGCTCCCTTTAGACCTGTTTACTCCTAAAGGCTAAATATTGTGTTGGAGCCAAAATGAGCTACCATGAAGCAAAACAAGCCCAAAATTGCTATCAAATGGCTGGAATCTGGTTGATTTCTTTGTCTGAGCACACAATGACCCCCCTGTTGTATATTTTACTGCTTACAGCTGTTTATGCATTGTTTGAATGTTAAATAATGCATTTACTGCACTGGCTGCATAGGCACTGTGATTGCCTCAAAGCTGTTATCCTGAGACTGAAGAGTCTGTGTTTCTAAAACACAAACACGCCCACGCTGCGCCTTTAGGCCTCCATACTTCACACACTCTGCAGCAGCGGTGAGCCCACCCATGGTGCTCCCCTTCCTCTGCCCTCACAGCTCAACCCATGCCACGGTTTTGCATGCAACAGAAATCTCTTGGACTTTCCTCCCCACATGAGATGAAGATGTTAAAAAAAAATGGGGGGGATGGACACAGTTTTTCCCCATTAGCTTCACTGATTTATGGGCATTGGCGATACAACAGTTGCTGCCTCCTAAATAAGTAAGCATGTCCTGCTGAGCTTATGTTTAGCAAGCTGAAAGCCAACTGGGACTGGTATCCAAAACCAAGCTCGAGACCATTTTCCTCTCTAGTGCAGCTTTGCATGTTAACGTGTTCATGAGTGAATATTTTGCTCCCCTGCAAGATCACATGGCATCTGTTTGCTGCCCTCTCTGCTGCCGTCAATAGCACCGAAATGTCGTCTTTAAGCAAAAACACATTCTGTGTTTTATTTCTGTTCTGCCACACAAACAGACTTATACTGACGGAGGTGTTTTGTCTGAACTTACACAGTTGGAGGAGGCCTTGAGTTTTAGATTGACTGCGTTTTTGTCCTGGACGGCCTCTTTGCTGACACAGACGACATCATCCTGTGGCACCAGCTGCAGAGAGAAGCAGAAAGTCCTTCGTTATCCCAAATCCTTCCCGTCTCACCGTTTCGCTCATGACTGCTGTATGTCATCGTGACAGACCTTTAACATGTGACCGTGGACAGTCGCAACTGAATGCTTTCCGCCTTACTCTCTCTATTATAAGTATATTATTTAATGTTATGTTTTGGTTCCAAATGTGTACCTAAAGCACGGCATGTACAACAAAATTGTTTGACCATGCCAGAAACTCAATAAAGAATTGGCTATGGGGACTGATATCATTCATATGGTGCAAAATTGTATCCCATTTTAGCTGAAAGCACATTTGAGACCAAACCAGATGTGGCCCGCAGAGGAGCACCCAACATGCCAAAGTAGTAATGAATGATATCAAGTATAAATGCTAGCATAGTTGGTATTTGATTGTTATTCTGTGCTCTCTATTAAAACATAACTGACTTTAAAGCGGCAGTCATCTTTTAGTGACCCCAGAGACCTCATACTGGATGACCTGTCTCATCTCACCCGTGGTATGTTGTTGGGGCCGTCGCCTCTGGCAGGCTGACGTGCTGGGGTCTCTGCCGCCATGATTTCCACTGTGATGGCGTAAATCTCGACCGTGGCCTCCGTCCCCTCGTCAGCCGCCTCTTCTGTAGCCGTTGGCGATGCTGCTGCTGTGGTCTGTTCGGTCGCTTCGGTCGAAGGGCCCATGGTGGGAAAAACCAAGATTTGTGGATCCTCCGGCTCTGCAAACGCAATTCAACTTAAATTGTCAATTTGATAGATATTAAAACGGTGCACACAGGCTTCCAGACACACGGTAGGACAGAGGTTGATTCTGAAAAGTGATTCAGCTATAATAAGTTGATAAGCACCAGAAAAACTCATGCAACAGAGGGCCCTGATTACACTTAAAATGTTGATGTATTGTCTCTCTGGACTGTAATATATGTATTCTTAGAAATATGTATAAACATGAAGTTCATTATTTAAGTTATAGAAAGGAGGAGGACCGTATAAGTGTTTTCTTCTGCCTCCTCCGGAAACATATCATATTTATTAATTCACTTTAGAATTTGCTGTATATGTTTACTCTTCATCTCATTGGTTATTCTTTGTTGTCTTATAATTTGTTGCATGTTCAAAATAAAATCAATCTAATATATTCTGGACCAGATGTTCATGTGATTGAATGGATCAGGCTGATACACGGAAGTACTGCTTATGTAGGACGTGTATGAAGAATGTCTTCCTCTATTTTGATCAAGTGGCTGATGCTCTGGTCTGTTTTCTCTTTTGTCTCTTCATTATAATATAATATCTTTTAAATTAACATTTGTTATTTAATATTGCACTGTGTCTATTGTGAGGGACACACTTTTGGGCGTGGCTGTGTTAACGGAGTAAGGCGCTGAGGTTATAATTCATTAATTATGTCAAATTAACTTAGTCACAACAAGTTTATATTTATTGAATTATTAATTTTTCCCTCGGATGTGAGCATAAGTGGGTGCTGTAGAGTAAGTTTACAAAACTATTTCTAGAAATGAACGGTCAGTGTTTCTTACCAGGAGCTTCGGTTTTCATGGGAATCATCTCTCCTCGTACGTACGCCTCCGGCGGCGTCGTTGGCACCGTCGCTGTGACAACTTCCTGCGTCGTGACAACATCCTGCGCCGTGACTCCCGCTGTAAAATCAGAATACGGCTTCATGTCACTTTGTTTGAAAAACACACAGTAATATAGTCTAATTGTTGATGCAGTTGTAAATAGATGTTTCTCAATCATTTTGAGGTACTGGTCCAAGGATTCGGTTACAAGGCGATAATGAAACTCTTTACTCCCTTTTATCAGCTCTCTATCAGCTTCGTCATTTGTGGATGCGCTGCCCAGTAAAAACATCTCCACACCGACTCTCAGGGTGTGACTTCCAAATCTGTAAACCTCAGCACCGAGAAACTGTCTGCAATTAATACCTCAGTGGTGGAACGTGTCACCTCCTCAGCCTGAGCAAATAAACCGAACCTGACCTCCTGTTCACTCCCTCTGGGATGATTGCTATGAAACATGCTGTTAGCTATGCAATGCACACGTGCCAAACACTTAAACATGTTCCTCATCATTAAGATGTGCTGTGTACAACGTTCGCTCGCTGCTGCTTTAGAGCTCGGTTTTCCCCTTTCTAATTCCAACTTCTCGCGTCCAGCCGTTCAGAAGAATCTGAGGTGTTATCCCACATCAATGAGACGCAGTTCTGCCGCCATGATTTGAGACAAAGTTGTAATGTGAGGTAGTAGCTCATAGGTTGGTCGTGCTCACCGGTGTGCTATTGCAACGTCAATTATCCGTAATGTATGAGCTCATGGCGTGTGTGAGAGCTCACAGTGAGACCTCTTTGTGTCCCTGGAGGCTCTACACAGTGATGGGAGATTAGTCAGAAGGTCTTATTGCAGTAGATAGCTGATGTGCTCAGACCCATGGATCATGGAGCCATTTGCTTTGAAATGCAATCTTCCCGTGGTCACAGTGACTCACTTTAGATTAGGCGAGAATGGGATATACAAAATAAGTCGCTGAAATATATCAGTGTGAGCGGAATGATTTTCCATCTACCCTGTTAAACTGTTGAATGCTCTGATTAAAAGCGCTGCTGCAAGGTGCCAGGTAATGATGCCATTAAAAACATCACTTTTTCCAAAAAAAATGAATTATGTAATAGGCCATTATACCGTTTTCGATTTTCAGGGCTCCGTGTGACTTTGGGTGTCGGAGTCCTTGATAAATTGCAGCACTAAATCAAAGTCTTGTTCGGATATTTCTGGTCCGGTGAATTATTTCATCGGCAAAGTTGTATTAGCCTGGATAACTTTCAGGTCACGTTTTTTATTCTCTGAGCAAATTAGTTAAAACTGCTGCCACACCCCTGCAGTCACTGAGCTAATGAGCTGAGCCTTTCACTGCTCTGATTTGATCATGGTCAAATTACAAGGGTAGGTTTCACGAGTCAAACCAGAATACCCAGCATGCATTCCTTTTGCCCAGATTTCCCTCTCTCTGTCTAACAACAACAGCATTACTTCACTCTCAAAACATTCCCATAATGCCTTACCTCTGCAGATCTCATTACTCTCTCACTGTGTGATTCCTCACGGGTTGCCAGGTTGAGTTTGTGACTGATTTCCCGTTTGCTGCCGCCTGTTGAACTAGATCTTACTGCCACTCGTACTTTGTTTATTTCAAGATTGAATTTAAATGATGGCTTTGTTTTCACTTTGCATATTCTGTATATATGTGACTGTAAAGCATTAACTTAAAGTTACTACAAGGAATGTTTAACTGGTTATGAAACGGTCTCAATTTAATAGTGATTCCTCGATATGACCTACATATGTAAACAAGACTTTTCAGCATGAAGATTGGCTATTTCTATATATTATTAATGCCTGTCATCCGGTCTGATTCCCTGCAAGATCAGACGTAATGATGTGCGGAACTCAGGTTCACCAGAGACTCCTGTAGCGCCGATTCTAGCGGGGCCTCCAGCAGAGACCAGTCCACAGCAGACAGACCCAGATCCGGTTTGCTGCTCCACCGGTCCCTGCTAGCAGCCAACACCGACACCACGCTGCTGGAGGCCCAGGCTGTATATTGCCGGGCCCGCTGGAGGGAAGGGAGGCACGGGAGAACCAGAACCAAAACCGGACCCTTCTGCAGTAAAATGAGGGGTTTTATAAAGGGACTCTGGTGCTCGGAAGCACTACCGCTTTTACCCACAGGGACCGCCAAAATCAAGACAAAATGAAAGTTCCTCATATAATACCTCTAAAATATGTTGTTAGATAATAAATGAACACTGTAACATTTGACCATATTCTGTAAATTGCAGGTAAACACAAACAGTGAATTTGATGGTTTAACATGGAGAAGAACATTCTATTGTGTGTAGGAATATTAGCTTTTTGTTTACACTAGCTGTATTTCTAACTATTTTACAGCATAACAAAACATTTTTTACTCATTTATTCTCCTTTTGCCTTCTTTGTACAACATGAGTTGATTGTCACCTCTGCTGCACCCTGTCGTCTCCTCACGACCGTCTGTGGTCACCACTGTTGTGGTTTTCACACATCTGTCACCTGTATATTCACACAGTGGTGGCAGTGTGACATGTGGCCACTGACTTCCTGAGATTAATCATTGTGACAGACAGGTGCCACAAGTACAGAGTGTACGCTGGGTGAGCTAGCAGGTGGGGCAGTAATCTCCGAGGAGGTCTTTTTCGCGTGCTTAGTGCAGTAGCAACTGTCCATTGCAGCTGTCTGTCATACTGTGTCAGTGCAGGGGAAATAAGTCAACACTGTGTAACTGGTTCAAATAGATGAGGAAACACATGGGAGGTCACTGACCTCTAAGCAGTTTTGCGCTCTCCTTCCCCGTGGCAAACCTACAATAAAGGGCAAAAAAGCTTTCTCCCCTGTAGACATGCTCGAGTTTCACTATGCAGCCAGAATGTTGCCTCGTCTCGCTGTCCTTCCTGTCTCCAGTTTACCATCAGGAGCATTAGCGTGGGTGTGGACCAGCAACAGGTCAAGGGCTCCCTAACCTTGTTAAGACTGTCTATCTGCAGCCTGCAGCCTACAGCTGCTATCCCTCACCCTGTCCCTGTGTGGTCTGACTGTTTATTTTTGCCGGAAAAGGATGAGGTTCCAAACGCGTGAGATGGCCGGGCATAAATCAGGTTTTCCTCTCACAACCGTGACACACAGGAGTGTGAGAGCGCAGTGGCTGAAATGTGTTGGTACTGCTCTGTGATCACTTTCTGTCATCAGGTGATTTGTAGCGGCTCTGGAGGGGGGAAACTCTGTCAGAGTTGTTGTAAAACTAAATAAAAAGTCTAAAGATTGATGCTGCGGGCTGATGGGTATGTTTAGTTTTTCACTTACAGTTTGGGGTTTCTGGCAGATTCTGATGGGATATTGGGGAGGTTTTGTAGTGAGTGGCTGGAAATCAATTTGCTTTTCCTTTTTTAAATGGAAAAAAAACCCCACAATGCAACTTTCATTGATTTCCCTATTTCGCGGCTTTTAAACCGCGGCACCTCAAGCACACTTTGTAAAACATTTTCATAAAGCAAAATATGTTCTTCAGACGAAATAACACATGGCCTGTTTTAAAAAAAAAAATGTCATGCACCGCCGGCAGTAAACTATGTCCAGCTCTCGGACCACTCAGCACTACACTACACACAAACAAACTTCCCTGACAGACCAGAGCCCAGATGGAATGAAACCTCTGCATGTAATTTGTCACTTATGACCAACAGAAACCGCAGGATCTGAGTGGCTGCCTTTTTTATTGTTTGCTTTTCAGTGTAAAACTAAAAAGTCAATGTTTTTTCAAGGCTCGTTACGTGACCAGGAAATCTTGCTGTTTTGCTAATGTTCATTTACTGCGTATGAAGATGAGAGGAACTGCAACTATAGCAGCTTTCTTGTGAAATTGTTGCTTTTTGTGCTGTAATTGATACAGTGGTGTCCCCCCACCCCATGTTTGCTGCTCCCCGTGTGACGTCGGCACACTTCCTGACGGCGTGACCTCTGAACCCATCACCGCCCCTCCACCCTCCACTCACACGCTCAAAAGGAGCCGAAGCTAAAGGTGATTGTTCGCTGACTTTTGCTACACACCATTCCACTAATACATACATACTGTACATGAGAGACGCTCACAACCCCTTTGCCTCGCATCACCACACATGCTCACACAGACTCATTCCTTTTTTAGTGTGTCATAACAGCAGCCATGATATCAGTCATCAGGTGTGTGTCTCGCTATCATTGCACAAACACGACACACCTAATCAGCCCTGACTCCATATGTTGTACGGCCGGGGTTCTGACTTCATTGCGCTCTTGAAGATTTTCCCACCAGATTGCCTTGAGTGACGGCTGCGGTCTTGAAAATTCTCCACCCCCCACACCGCACCCCTCCCACACCGTATAGTGTAATGTAAAGCAACATGCCAAGAGCCATATGGCAACAGCTCATTTCTCTACCGTGGCCCTAGGAGGCTTTGCTTTCAGTCTTGTAAGCTTGCTTGCGGTATGTAATGTCTAAACACAAGTTCCACATGACGGCACACGTCTTCTTCTTTGCATAACTTTGCATTTATGCCTCATAATGACTTTAAGCATGAAATCTCTCACGAGTACAATACTTCACTGCCCGGATTTGTTCTACTTTCTCTAATGTAGAGAGATGTTTTCTTGTTAAGAACATCTCCACGTACTGTACATCTTTCAATGTGCACCCTCTATTGTGTGTCGTAAGGCCTTTACACACCAGGGGCGTGATGAATAATGGACACGAAAATGCAAGACACTCGCCTTCAAATGTTATATGTTTAGGGCTTTTATTGTGAAAGGTAAAAAAGGAAAGAGTGGATCTGGTCAGGGCTGCTTTTGTTAATCTTGACAGGAGTGATAAAGTTTCTTGGTTCGGACTATGGAGTATTCATGTTGTTGTTTCATGAATATGGGAGCAACTCAACCCGTTACGCACATGATTGTTTGGCGACTTTATTCGAGGTGTGAAAGCTCAGAAAAATCAACCTCATCTGGAAAGAAATTAATGACACTTTTTCGCAGCTTAACAATAATTTTCCGTGTAAAAGTATTCATGACATATTCTGTTTGAAAAAAAAAAACATTGGCATGCGAATTAATTGACTAAAAAGACGTCACCTTTACATGTTAAACATGAACCAGCTGTTGGATGTTTTGAATTGGTAGACCCTCCCACGGCTTTGGCCTCCAGTCCCAGCCTGGTGTCCAGAGAACTCCTGAGCTACATGTTCACAAGGGACAGACCCCCAAAAAATGTGGCCTTATAACCCCGGGGCCCCCTCGGCCTCTCCCTGCTTCTGTTGTGGGGAAATCCTGCGCTGTGTAATGGGGCACAGTGAGGTGATAATGGTCTGCACACGACAGTGGACCACCGTGTCAAAATCACAATGGCCGAGGTTCCACTAGCACCTTTGCTGCCGCGTGTAGCGTGCGGTGGTGACCACATGACAAAGCCTTTTCATGGGGAATCGACACAATCCAACTCTGAATGAAACCATATAATTCATCTCAGATTTTTCTGTCCACAATTGAAGTCTGCAGCTGTGCCAAGACCAAGCTAAATGTAGATGTCCTAACTGTTTTGGCTGAGTGCGTGAGAGTCTGTCCACCCAAGCCAGCTTCTATAAACATTCTCAAGACATAGGGCCTCCTCTTTTCTCTCTGGGTTACATATCCTGCAAATCTGGAAGATGCCGTATGTATAAATGTATTGTACAGTATTGATTGAGTGGGGAGAAAGCAGCACAGTGCTGAGACTCTGGGACTTCAATGGTGGTTGATGTGACTCAATTAGAAAACCATTATGTTCCCAGGGTAGTATTCAAATAGGATCCTGAAATGGCAATTGAAGTGTGTTCTTTAAACGTGATTTTCTGCTCTCTGTGCAGTGTAACACATTACATGCCATTTCTGAGCAATGTAATATCGTACAAAAATTGCAAAACTGCCTAATTGAACTGCCATCAAGTGTAATTTTCCTTTCCACTGCTGCCTCTGGACCTGCCTCAAATGTGTACAGTCAAATTACCCCTTTAGAGGTTCTCCGACATCACTCTGGCATCCATTGGATAGAAATTTGATCCAAGAGCACACGCCCCCTCCGCCGCACCCCTCCCGCCCCGCACACATCTCAACACGGATTTTCAAAGTAGAGCTGAGTGTGGAGACAAAACGATGAGTGTAATCATTTTCAAATGCCTTTTTAAAATCCAGCCTCCCATAATTATACTATGATTTTAACTATAATTTTCTTAATGTTATCAAAATGCACTATAAGAGAGGGCAGGGTCGCCCTCTTTCAGTTGAAGCTCCAGAAGTTAAAAGTTTAAATTGCTTGTGCAATGTTGTTTTTTTCCTCGTGTAGTTTAGCTCCATATGTGGTTACCTCTTTCTGGCTTTTCTAGACAGTTAATGAAAGCATTAATTATTGCGTGTCTTCCTAATAAGGAGTGTTTTCATGACTTAATATCTCAGGTCATATCTTTAAAACATCTGAATTTGAGAGTCAAGAGAGTGCTGAGGAATGTGACATCGGAGCTCAGTCCCTTAGTGTTGAACATGCTCTGCAACTCGACCCGCTTTGAAACAACAGACTGCTGACCTCCGCTATCATGACCCCCCCCTAACCGCACCCCTCCCCCTCCCCTCCCCTGTCGCTCCTGTCACAGCGATTAATAGCAGAAGCCGGCCCATTCTTCTCTCTTGGCAGAAAAAAGCAACTGGATCTCATGGTTTCAATCAGCACTGACTTCACCCAGCGCTGCCCAGCTGCAGCGTTCGCCCAGCCCGGCCCCGAGGCCGCTGCAGCCCTTTATCGAGAGCATGACGCCCGCTTCTGGGGACCACAATCAGGAAACATGACATCTGCTTTCAATTGGGAGCATTATATCACCACCCTATCCCCTGGCCTTCTTTTCCTCTTCCTCCTCCTTACACACTCTCACACATTTGCCTGTTTCACTGCCTTGTGCATTACCTTGAATGAGCCCGTCTGGTTTGGGTGTGTGCAGGTAGACTGTTGGGGGGGATCCTGTTGCAGTTCAGTGAGGCAGATCTGGGCGTCGATGGCTAAGAGGCTCAACATTGATTTTGTCCAGAAAGAACACGAGACGTAAAAAAATCTACCAAAGTAATTACTTCCACACACACACACACACACACACACACACACACACACACACACACACATCCAGGGGGTGGTAGTGAAAAACAACCATCATAGGCCATTAAGATGCTGAACTGGAGTGCACTTTTGTCCCAAAGAATTTTTGCTCACAGATTCTGCTTTTAGAAACGCTAGAGTTTTTAAAGTATGTGTTAGACATCTGGGTGCTACTTTCTTCGCGAGAGGAATGAACGTGGCGTTGTTGACATTGTTTCTGTGATTCTTTGGTCGTTACTTCTGTGGTTACTGGCACGAGATATTCCAGTCATACCACTGACAACAAAGCAAATGTAAGCGTCTCTCAGTCCCTGTGCGTCGCTTCGTCTAACACCCATCTCGCTGCTTTCCCAAAAGAAGTCTGCTCATCATTCCCAACTGGGGTTTCCCCCGGTGTTATTATGTCCTCTTTAGCTGCTGCCACCCCCCTCTTCTCCAGGTTGCCGGGGTAACCGTTACGCTCTCTGACATCTGTGAATCCGCTCTGACCTCATCACAGTAAACTCTTACAGTAAGCTCGTCTTTCCTCCACTTGCATAACTCTGCTCCCATCTCCGGGGTTGACGAGACAAGCCTGAGTCAGGAGACAGGTGCTTCATCCTGTCGGTGAAATACTGTTTCACTCAAGAGGTCTTTGTCTTCCCTCTGTTTCACATCTGTATCCCATCTGATATCCGCTCCATTGCTATTCGTCTTTTTTTTTGCGGCTTGTCACATGTTTTGAGTTGCTTTGTGATTTACAAAGATACAAATTACAATTTTAGTAGAGTACAAGTTTCAAAATCTATAGGTTGAAATCATGTCAAGGCAGTTTTCATTTTCCATGCAGCTCTGCCTCTCACTGCTGATGATCTCATTCACATAAGTTGCACCCCATGAACAAGACACCAGGTTTGAATTAAGCAATTCGGTGTGTGGTTCGTTTCCAGCCACAACAGAGAGCACTGCAGATGATCCCACAGCTCTGTAGATCATTTCTCAGCTCCATTTTTCAGCATCTTGGTTTTACTTTGTGTTTGTACTTTTGGTAGAACTTCGTTCGGCCACCACTGAAGGATGAAACGGCTCATCTGTCTAAAAAGTTTCCCCGATTTTTCTTTTCCCCACATGACACATCTCTTAATGTTCTGCCTGCAGGCAATTAATGCGGTTAAACTGGAGTCCTGATCGATTTCCGTACTCGAGCAGTATTATTACATTTGGAAAATCATTGTTTTTTGTGTCGGATTTCCTTTAATATCAGTTTTGAATTGCACTAGGCTTAAACTAAAGTGGACTCAATTGGAAATTGGCTTGGTGGAAAAATGATTTAAAAAGTTGTTATCAAGTTACAGAAGTTTAAAAAAAAAATTGAAACAGACTTCATCCTGCAAAAATTTGGTGATATCAGAAGCAAGGCCTGAATTTGAATTGGCCGCACCCTATTGATTGATTCCAAATCAACAATTCTTTCATTGGGTTTAACTGCGCATAGGGCTCAGCCATGTGAGCCACATGGCGCCTTTACTCATAGTTTAACAGCACCAGCTCTCCCTGATGCCTCAATAAAGCTCCCTCTTTATCGGCTCAACCACATTCAAAACACACATTAACAGCCAAACTCCACACACCCTCCTCTCAGACATGCTTCAACCGGCCTCGCATTACACGGCTAAATATAAACACACATATTTCCCAAAGTCCTTGAAGATCGTGGGAATCAGGTCAATGAAATACCGAGCATAGCGCGGGGGACGGTTCACAAATAGTTTAAAATGGAACGATAAAAGGCAAGAAGGGAATTCTATTTCGGCAGCATGTTGTAAATTTACAAGTTCAGAATAGAGATCTTAACTTCAATTCATCATTTCAGACTTCCCTGTGGCTCCACATGATTACAACCCTTCCCTCTAAAATAATCCCTTTGTTTGTCAAGGTACTCCAAAGTAATGTTTCCTGTGTCTGTGAGGAAGAAACATGTTCACGAAACCCGTTTCAGAACCGATAAAGCCTCACACGTTATAGATTTATTTTCAGTACTGAGATAGTATGTTTGCATTCCACAGAGTAAAAAAGGTTGTAGGGTTAAAACTTCAACTCAAAAGGCCATTCAAACAAACACTCCTCAAACACCCCTCCTGGCCCTCCCTCTCCCCACTGTGGATGGCCATAACATCTCCAGAGAAGTTGACCCATTTCTTTTTGTTGTTGTTTTATTACTCACCATTTAAGAGCGAGGCGATGACGAGCAATGCTAAAGCCAGCGTTTTGCAGGGCCCACTTGGTCTCTGTGCAGATGATGCTGCCATTCTCCTCCTGAGCGCACACACGTTCGTCGGGTGGGAGTGAAAATGCAGGGGAAGTAAAAGGGTGAACTGGAGCAGTTAAGGGTTTCCTCTTACCCAGAGCGGGACAGGGTGGATAAAGCACCACTTGTGTTCTGTCTGTTTTTATATAGCCCCCCCCCCCCCCCCCCCCTCTTCCTCCCTTACTGAGGCCCGGCCCTACACCCCTTCTTACTTTAACCCTTCCTCTGTGCCCCCACCCCTCTACAAGAAACGAGGCAGACGAAGGGAAGGGGGAGAATGGGGTCTTGTTGGGATGTTGTGTATATATATATATATAAAAAAAGAAAAGTTGCAGCATTCTTGAAATACCAATCAATATATAAATGAAATAGACAGCATGTGTGATGCGTATTTTGTTGATCAGTGCTCATTACGTCATCCTTTTGGCTGCAGTGTCTACTGGAGCGCTGGACCCCGGTCTGGCTGGGAGCAGTAATCCACTGCACAATGAAAGGTGATAGCCGACAATAGGGTGACACTCTGGTCCTTAATAGGCTTATGGAGATAGACTGCGGGGCAGAATATCATACTCGGAACAAAAGTGCGACCCACTGTTATGCTAATGGAATTAATCCATGTCAGTGGCCCGGAGGCCCCCACCACCCAGCATGGCCATCAATCAACAACAGCCGTCCCAGTAGTGAAGACACCCCAGGATCCGCTGAAACCTTTCACACTTCCACAGAGTCCTGAAAGCCCCCCGCCCCCGCCCCCCACAACAGCCCCCCCCCCCCCTTGGCAATTTGGGGATCTTTGCTTTACTGTTCTTCGCTCTTCTGCTAGTTGTTCTCATGCTCTCTGTGAATCTCACATCTGGAACCACTGGCGAAAGTATGCTAAATTACTTGTTAAAAAAGAAGAAGCCCCACCCTCTCAGACAAAGAAAAAAGTGGCAACAACAGCGAGTCGAGAGAAGTAAACTGCTACATGCTTGTGAAATGCCCTTGTAACTTGATACCATGTCCCAGTGCCCCTTAGTCCCTATGTCCCTGTTTTTGGCCCCATCACCCCATTTCCTCTCTCTTACTCCCCCCCTTTCCGTCTTGCCAGACTCCTATGAAACATTCAGCTTAAACAGCAGGGCGTTGAGGTGGGTAATCGGCCACTCACTGTGACTCAATATGAGCTTTGCTGAAAACCCTTAACTGAATAATCAGTGGCGTGCCCATTACAGCAGCCACAGCTGGACGGCAGCGGCCATGTCACCCCAGTAAAACATTCATTAGACTGTTAGCTAGTTAAGTATTTCTGCTACTTGAGTCCTTGTGAATCACGGCGTTCTGTCAGATGGCAATAAGGAACAGACCTTTTACCTTCAACAGCAGGACAAACACTGGACATTTCTTTGTCTTTTTCCCCTGTACATTTTTCCCTGTACCGTTCTTTCACTCTTACAATGAGCCAAGAGCCAAGTGATAATACATGCATGCGTGCAAGTAAAGCCGGAAGTCCTTTACTCTCCATTGTTAGACACCCAACAAAGGAAGACGTAAGTCTGTCTTCCTTTGTGACAGCGTTTGGTCTGAAGTGTCACAGAGCAGCTCGTCATAGTCACAGATCAGGCAACCAACACAGGCAGCAAATACATTCCTCCTCCGACCTTACGATACACAAATCTGGAAAACATTTTTACCACTGGCATCCTGTGATTTAAAGCCTATAGGCCTGGCCTCATACGGCTTTATTTGTTTATAGTATGTTGACTGTTCAGCACATCTGTTGCAGCTTACGGAGTTTAAAAACATCGCCTCCATTTTCCTTTTAGCTGCCGCGCTGTTTCTTTGGTAACAGTACATCACAATCATCATATATCTGCTGGTGTCGTAGATGATTTCTGACAGCAGTGCGTAGTTTGGTTGAGCTTGCGAGCACGTTTTAACCAGATTTGAGGGTTGAGTATTAAATCCTTTCTGAAATGTGTGATGGAGTGTCTCAGGAGAATATGCAACCAGGATCGATATCAAAAGAGAAGTGTTGTGCTTTTGTTCTCACGACGAGTCCCCTTTAGATTTACCCTATGCTTTAAAGACCACAGAAATCCTGAGCTGTTGCATTTTACATTGCGTTTTGTGAACATCCAATTTTTTTACTTTATTCTTTTTCTTTTCTTTTGTACAGTCAAAGAGAGTATGAATTCACACATGCACACCTGTTTTTGATCAACACAACAAAAGCTTATTGTCAATCATTAGCTTTGAACTTTTGAGGACAAACTGCTGAAAAATACACATTGATGTTCCAACCTGTTTTCTGAGAGCATGGGCCATTATAACAGATTTATAAAGCACTACAACTGGTTTATCCAGGGCATAGGTTAGACTCCAGCCTGTGATCATTTAGTTATTTGATTTCTTAAAGCTGGAGTCGGTAACATTGGAGAAACCAGCGACGGCACGCTAGATTAAGAAATGTCTATATCCCTCCGAAGCTAGCTAGCAGCACTAGCTCCAAAAGTCGCTTAATCTAGCGGGAAAGTCGCCAAGTCAGCAACACTGTCTTCCTCTCTTCAGGCCTCCCTTCAAAGCCGCTCCCCCGAAATTATCATTATGAACATAAACAAGACTGTTGTTAGTACTCACCGCTGTAAAGCTAGCAGCTCGTGGTGACGCGCAATAAGTGCAATGAAGAAGATAGACGGGGTTGAGAATGTTTATTTTGAAACATGTTTTGTTATATTTGTTGAAATTATCTTTACATCCCGACAGCGATCAATAAATCAAATGCTCTGACAAAAAGAAGAGAAAAAAAATCCTGTGTCTAAATGAAATGATTGGATGGCCTACCTAGCATAATGAAAAATGCCTTTTTAACCCTTTTACATCACACCCCTGGTCAAAGATCAATTTCCTTGTAATCATTTTTTCTCCTTTTTAAACAAAACATGATGTGTGCTTGCATAAGCTGCAACCGATCAGTTTCAACCAATACTATCATGATATCCATCCATCAGTTAATAGCCACAAGGGAGGTGTGTGTGGAGCCAAAGTCCTCTGTAGCTCCACATCGCGCTACAGTCTAAGTCCGCCCACTTTTTAGTAGTCCAATCAAATGGAAAGGATTTGATTTAAGTCCTTCTTGTACACCGCTCAAATATTCCGTTTCACTGGGTTTTTAAGAACACACAATTTAAATAATAATGAGCAATGGCATTACTGGTTACTGTCTTGGTTAAACTAGTCAAACGGTGCTGATGAAACAGCCTGGCTTCAATCTGACTGTAATATATCACTTCTTGGATGTGTTTTAGACAAAAGACCACAGGTGGTTGATCCAAGCAGTCTTATTTTGTGGTAATAGAAGTTTCAGCTGCTAATTGGACAACCCTAGGTTCACTGAGGCTTGGCTGACGAATCAATAGGCTCCTTTAAATGGCAGATCCCCCTCACTAACTGGGAGCTAATTAGCTGAAAATGTCATGGTTTACATTCTCAGAAGACTTCTGTGTTTCTTTCTTTTTTTAGTTTCACAGAACTTACAGTCGTACGGATAAATATAAATAAAATATATATATATATATATCTTATGAGAGACAGCGATGGTTGTTTGTGTCTCTGTTTTAAAACGTGCGTCTTCAACGTGCAGTATCACCAGTGTAGCTATTTATTTCTGTCTGAGAGGACGAGTTCACCAGCAATGGAAGAGCCCCAGGGAGAGCGTTGAGCAGGACGTTTTAACAGCGACTCTCCTGATGTGACGATCTTTTGTGGGAAGACAATTCCTTCGTCATAGTTAACAATTTAACTTTAGAGATATATAGTTCTGTCTTGACTTAAGAAATACACAAAAAAAGCATTTGACCCTTCGCTAAGCCCCGCCCCCTTTGAGCCCACACTGTCACTAACATAATGAATATTATCTATCTTTTGTAAAAACAAAAAAGGCAAATGTTATAGAAAAACAGGCAAAAGATTCCACAATATGTGTTTGATGGATATATTCAGGATGTCAAACTGATTCAGCGGAGAAAGATAGAAGCTAAAGCCCACAGATCTCAGTGTAGAAGGGAACCGCCACATCACCTGCAACCCGAGACAGAAGACAATGACATATAGGAACAACACTGCTCCTGTTAAGCCGGGTAGGCATGTGTAAACATTCAGTACACCTTCTTTAGCTAGCGTAGCATAGAAGTTCTAACGCTAGCTAATGATGTGCCAACGTACTCATGTTAGCTCCACGGGTTTTTAGGTAGAAACCTAACGTATATCTCCTTCCAACATTAAACCATGACTAGCTTGAAATCCTCTAAACCAGCCAGAAAATTAAGAAAGTGAAAGTAAATGAGGGTCTATGGAGCACAGCTGGACAGATGTTGGACCCTGGTCGGGCTGGCCAATGCTAAACTACAATTGGCCAGTCTGCGCTCAAGGGGCGGGACTCGGAGAATGTTCAATTGACATGCTTTGCTGAATTAATGGTGAGGACATTTTCTTTTAATTAAAGTCCTCATCGAAAGGGTCTTCTTAACTTAATTTTGGTTAAGACACACAATCACAGAAAGCACGGAACGAGTTGTAATACACATTTTGTGGCGCTTTGAAAATAGGTGCCAGAAATGCCACAAAGGGAGCCTGTCTTGAAGTGATTTCATGAGTGCTGCAGAGGGAGGCTGAGAAGGAGGGAAAGCGAAGGGAAGGACTGGGAGGAGGAGGAGGGGGAGGAGTGGGAGGAGTGGGAGGAGGAGGAGGAGGAGGGGGAGGAGTGGGAGGGGATTTCATTTCAAACTGCAGCAAATGTTGACCGTTACCTCTGTGGGCTGAGCAGCGAGGTCTCTGCCCCAGAGTGAGCGGGAAGCAGACAAAAGAAAGTGGAAAAAAGAGAGAGAGGACGTGCTGTATTGATGAAGTCACTTCTTCCCAAAACAAAACGTGTCGAGGACGTCCCAGGTGTGGGTTTTCTTCGCGGTCTCGGGGTACAATCTGTGGTCTGAGTATGTCTGTGTCATGATCTACAGGACCACCGCGTGGGTCTGCAGATGTCCCACACACACACACACACACACACACACACCCTTAGGCGGCAGCATTGAAACAGACACTTTTTGTCACTGACACA